GCACATCGACACTCCCACACAGCTTGGTATCGTTTATCTGTTGGTTTATTATCTATATCTCAGCTGTGTCTAGAACAGGAGTGTTCATTTTGTAGGTGAGCAACTGATTGTCCCTGTCCCTTCTGAAATGCACGGTTTATTTCAGACTGCTTCTCTGATTTATTTCATGTATTCTGAAATCTAATCCTTTTCTCTAAAGTATTTCCATCCCTTGAAGCCTGATAATATCTTTGACTGATGATAGAGCAAGCCTATTAAATTCATCAAAGTCATTAATGAAAATACTGAATGCAGTTTAAAGAGACCTGAAATACAGAATACTAATGTGAAAATCTGTGTGATGATCTTAATAAAATTCAGTTTTGCTAGTTAGATTTCAGTAACTGATTTCTGAATATGCCCTTGCAGAAGATACATAAAGAAAATTTTCGTTACTTGCTTATGGGACTGTTCTGAGAAATATTATCCGATTTGAGAGAGTCAGTGCTTGTTATTTTTAAAATGTGTGGTTTCAATTTCATTTGATATTGAAAGGTCAAATAATGTTGGCTCTAATATGCTTGCTACTTTCTTGAACATCTTCATTCATGCACTTAATTCTAGAAATATCTATCAAGCTGCTATATTCTCTATGTATTTGCCAGTGCTTTCTAAAATACCCTTTTTCAGCATGCTGCTTCCACAAAAACAACCAATGTAAAACTAGATAACAACTACCTCATATACCAGAGATTGTGTTGTGGTTAATGCTACTCCTTCCTGTCCGATTTTCTTTTTCCTCTCATCTGTTTATAATCATTTCCTTACATCTTACTATTTGCTTTATTCATATTTCTCTTGTGTGTAACATATGAGGATCTTGGCCAATGATTCCTTCTTAAACTTAAAATACAGAAAATAACAAGAACAACCAGAAGAGGAACAAATGGAGTAAGGAACATATGGGATAGAGTAACCATTTATTTTATATCTTTACCATTGTTGAGGGGGGATTCTGTGGGCTAACAGGGCTTTCCTGGTAGTGAAGGAGATCTTTTATGCTATTCATATTTTAGAAATGTGATTTATCATTGCTCTGTGTTGTTTGATAAGGTTTCATGTTGTGTATCTTTAGAGTTGGAATTCTTATGTTTTGCTATGATGATTACAGGTGTTACAATCTGACCTTGAAAACAGGGAGAAGCAGCAGGAAAAAATGCTGGACCAACTAAAGGAGATACAGAATTGCTACAAGGTTTGTGAGGATGGACGTAGACAAACTGAACTCCAGTCTGCAGAGTTAGCTCAGCAGGTTGAAGAGAGTACAAAGGAAGCAGAACGGTACCTCACTGAATTCAAGCATTCAGAGACACTTAGGCTGGAGGTTGAGAAAAAAAGACAAGATTTGAAAGTGAGAGCACAGGAGACCATCCGTCAATGGAAGCTGAAATGCAAGAAATTGGATCGTGAGGTGGAAAAACAAAATGAAACTATCAACCAACTAATGGACAAGAACAGTCAGGTAAGATTGATGTGTATTTTTGTACCCTTTTCATTTGTTTTGAAAATGAACATAAGGAGTTTATTTATGCTGACTGTGACTTAAACCAGTTTCTGCCTTAAGTTCTGAAGCAAGTTTTCTGGTGAAGTACAAAATAGGTGGCAGGGTTTTTTTTTAGCCATTATGGAGTTCCACATTCTCTTCATCTTGTGTATATTCTAGTATCTTCACTTTAATCAAACCTCTCTGAATGATACTTTTATTTTTTCTTTGCAGTTAGCAATTAACATAGTTTATTTTTAGTTAATTTTAAGGAAATAATGTGATGTGATTTTTCATAAAAAAATTTAGTTGCATTAGGTAATAAACCATGTTCAGGTTATGCATTGTTTCTTGGTAGTGGACAGTGGTCACATCTTTGAAAGTAGATATTTACTTTCACCATGTATTTCAGGTTGCTAACAGACCATAATGCACATGTGTACTTCCAGTGCAAAATTTTCCAGTCATTTAGCACATTTTCTAGTTTGTTTGTTTATTTGAGTTTTTTAAAGCTGAAACACATCGATGTTGAAAAAAACCCAAAACCCACAACCCTTAAGCTCCTTAAGAAAACAGTGAATTTTTCTTTTTTAATTAAATATGGCTAATTTTAATTTGAAGATGAAGTCTTAATTTCTTGGCTGTGATGCAGCTGCAGGGTGCTTGGACAAGATGACCTTTAATGGTCTCTTCCAACCCCAAACTTTCTGTAGTTCTATGCATGAGTGAACCAGGGTTTTAACTGCTGTCCATTCATGTGCTGTGTGCAATTTTGGAATAATTTGAAGTTGATACACTTCATGTGTAATATTTTAGAATAATAAGCAAAACAAGCCAGCCTCTGAAATGAACTTACAGGTATGTGTGATCAACAGCGCCCCCTGTACTCTGCTCTGTTACTGTATTGCCTCGTTTCCTTCATGTTGTTATTTGGAGGAACTGGCAAAGAAAGCCGTCTCAGTCTGCGAAAAGGGTGAGAAAGCAGGGGATTAACCAAAACTATCCCTGCTTAGGAGGTGAGATCATTTAAGGACAAGTAGATGTTTGAAATCACAAATGTTCTGTGTCTAACCTTAAAGAGACACTGAATACATTTGAACTGAGTTCCTAACAAGCAAAAATTTCTTATCACAGAGCAAAGTGTGCTAATTTGTTCCTTAGACACTCCTAATGTCTAAGGACATCCTTCCAACTATTTTTTCTAATTACTTTAAGTTGCACTGGATTTCTTTTTCTTCTTTCCTAGGCCCTCAAAGAAAAAGATGACCTCAGAAGTCAACTTCTCTCAGCTATACACCAAATAGAAAACCTTAGGAAAGAGGTGAATGATGTGCTTACAAAGAGAGCCCAGCAGGAAGAACTGCTCCACTGCAAAGAGGTAAAACTGAATGAAATGAAGTCTCACCAGGTGTCTCTGGAAGAAGAGATCAAAGAAATTCAAGGTACTGTAAATAAATTGGAGAATGAGTTGAAAAAGCAAGTCTTCCTACAAAATCAATTGCAATCTGAAAAGGAACACTTGGAGACAGAACTTGCATCTAGTAACTTGGTCCATAAAAAAGACCAAGAAAGACTTTTAGAAATGCAAGCAGATGTAAAAAACTTAAGTTCTATACGGGTGGAACTAACAAACAGAATAGCGCAAGAGGAGAAAGTCAAAAAGGAATTACATAAGAGCCTCTCAGACCTCCAGAAACAGC